AGGCATGGGAGCTTACTACGTGTTCTTCGCGTGCTGTGATATGCTCTTACGATTTTTAAAGTACTACGAACACAATAATTCATAGGAATAAAAATTATTTTGATTCAAGGTGAATATTGTTCTACAGACGGTTTGTCTAAAATTGACGTAAACTTGCACTTCATACAGGCAAACTTGCCCTTTTTTTTGCAGGAAAGAGCAAACCAAGCAGAGCTCTTACATACATGTAGTAAAACTCTATTTCGAGTTGAAAATCACATTTTCATTAATTGCCCAGCGATATTATGTATTCTTGCCGATACTGCAAATACAACGAGTCATAGCCCCGTTAATACGCAGACTCCAGTAGTTGATACAGTGCGAATGAACGCTTGTGGATGCACTGGTTACATTGTTTAAACTTTTTTTGTTTGGTGACGTTACATTGACGCCACTTAGTTAGACTAACGACTTCATAGTTTTATTTGAATCTTCACTCAATTTCCATGTCCTGTTCGTGTCGTAGCCCTTGTTTGCCAGCAGTCACGATCAACCCGAAGAGCTTAGTTTTACTTAAGTCCTTCGAAGTACAGCACTAGAATCTTGCTTCCACCCAGGTATGCGCAGCCATCATTACTGCAGCAATATTACATTGCTTTATCGGAGTCCCTAAAACAAAGCATGTTAAAAAGCCTCGTTGCTGTCCAGAATCACAAGCTTTCTCACCTCTTGTAGTTCTCGGGGCGACAAAGTTGTCTTTTTCTATTGCGTTGCGCTACGAGCTGTTTTGGCGCCTCGAAAGCCATTTTTCGTAGTTTTCACCTTCCTATCATCTTGGTGTGATGGTGTTGTTGTGGGCTTGCGCCACCGCTTTCATTCTGTCTACCACCGACGAAGCAGCTAGCGTCGTTTGGGCGACAGCTTTTAAAACACGCTGCTCCTCACTTCGGAAAATTGCTAATTGCTCGGGAGTAGCTGTGAGTCGTTCTAGTGTCAGTGGCTGTGTAACAACTATTAAATTTCGATGTGTTATACGTGAAAGGGCTACGTATGCCTACGAAATGTTTGGAATTGCATTAGAGTGAAAAACCACACACGAGCATGTAAGCCCTTGTACCTTATGCACTGTCATAGCATAAGCCAATCGAAGCGGAATTCCCCTTCGAACAACGCGAAGATCACTGGATGCCTTTCCCCAAGAAACGTCTTTTGGTGGTATTGGAACGATATTTGGTACTTCATCTAGTACGGAAGGACCGATATACGGGTCTGTGACTTGAACGAGCACGATGGGTAGATCGCTTCCCGACACAAAAAGTAAAGTCATAAACGATAGCATTTGTACCATTGCACAGACCTGCAGCTTGGGTAATGTTGTAGGTAAGTGTTATAGGTGCACCAACACACAGTTTTAACCTGTTAGGCACCACTCTGTCATGATCAGCGTTAGCTGTTTGAGCGTCTGTTAGAAGTGCGCGAACGGTTCCAGCAGGTATGTCTCGTTTTGTCGTTAAACGTTTTTGTTGAACGAAGTGCTGCGAAGTTAAATGCACAATCGGTACATGAGCTGATACTATACTGTGATCGTTGGCGTCATTAACATCTATATTTTTGTATGCAATATGTTTGGCATTAGCCATCCACTTAGGTTTTCCAACAAATTGCACTGAACGGGAGTTGAAGAGATCAATGTCATCCTGGGCTGGCGATTTTTTACGTAGACGACGAAGAGCGCTAAACCAGTCAGGATCTAAAGCTCCTCTATTTTGACTAGTTAGCATACACACCGTTTCAATACTATCCCATATTTCTTTCCCACGTCGCTGAACCTGGTTTGAAATCTTTTGAAGGGGTGTTGATAGTGAAGTTGGGACAACGGGGTCTAATTGAGCAGAATCTCCAGTAAAGTACACATCTCTTCCACCAAAAAGCTCGTTTGAGTTGCTTGGCCATATTTCTCTCATTCTTTTATCAATCCAATATAACATGCCGCAGGATATCATACTAAACTCATCAATAATAACTAGATGTACGTCTTTATATTCTTCCTGCAATCGTTTCAGCTTTGTTGGGCCCGTTTTCGAGTCCGTTAGAGATTTGTAGGGAATTGAGAATGAGGACTTTGAAAACGATGAAAATGAGAAAGCTGAGCACAGTGTCATTCCTTTTATGTTAAATGCAGCAGTTCCTTGATGAGCTAGGAGTAGTACCCGTTTTGATTTCCGTCTCGTAGCTTTATGTTCACCAAATACGTTGTGCATGTCCTTCACTATATGGCGAATTAGCCAGCTTTTCCCAGAGCCACCTTCACCGTTTATAATCATTTGGAGAGGCTTACACTTAGATTTATCCAGCATACATGTAACCGTCTTCTCGATTGTTCCATTGCAATTGCAAACGGAATCCACTGCGATTCAGCCATTTTTTCGGTATTAACTAGATTTTTGTTATCCGAAGTAGGGTATTGATAGTGCGATTTCAAATTTCCAGTTTGACAAAAACTGGTTCCTAGTGATCGAGATTCTTTTTTCTCCTTCACCCATGGCTTTAGTGATCCCAATCTTCCTTGCATGTCCTCATCTTGCTACAACTGCTTCAGATCTCGAATCACTTGACCGCTGCAGCTTCTGCAGCTGAAAGAACACCTCCGTTGACCATTGCAAGTTGCTACTCTGAGATAATGATTGGCTATCAGATTCATTCAAAACGTCACGAGCTTTATCAATGATGGCAGACGTGTAGGTGTGTTTGGCTTTCCACTCCATCGGTTTATTTTGGTTTACTGAGGTTTCTACCGCACCCATGGGTTCTGGTTCTAGCATTTCTCCATCAGTATTCGATACAAACACATACTCAGACGGAGGCAGGGCAGTTATACTTGATTCGCTACGAGCGGATTTTATTAAATCTAATTGATACTGCCGAGCTAACTTGGCATTTGATTCGTGTTTCAACTCTGCATCCAGCAGCGAATTTTGAGCTTGAAAAAAGCGTGCTATTGCTTCATCATCGGTTGTGGGAAGCTCCTCTAACGTCCGCCATGGAACATACAAAAATACTTCGGAGAAACAGAAAGTGGGGTTCGACGAATCGGGTCGTATCCAGGGTGTCTTTTGCACAACCGTGGCTTTCTTGCGTTTCTTGATCCACCCTTCACCGTTCATACACTCGTACAGATCATCGGAGGATGCTACTTTACGTATCGACTCAATCGTTTCGAAAGTCTCTACAAATGTTGCTAAAGTCATAGCGTTAAAATGATCATTGTCCGGGCGATTCATGTACGCTTTCTCGATAGGCTCAATTCGAATAGTCTCGATCTCTGGTGTACTTGCTAAGGCAACAAGGTCGTCTAGGTTTTGCGGCTCAACGCGATAGTAACCGGTACTGTGACGCATCACCTTGACTTTGGTGATTGAGCGGGATTTACTATGCATTGGTAGATTGCGAAGGAGAATGTATATAGCTTCCGGTGCACCAACCTCGCGAACCGCGAGAGTCGCATTTGCTACTCGCTTCAGAATCGAATGATAGGGAAGATTTGAGTCACTCCGTTGTATAGCTTTTGCAATCACTCGCCTGAATCGAAGTGTATCTGGCTCTGCTTTGCTTACATACGCTCCTGCGTATTCAGCAGCTCCGTAGGAGTTTCCAATTAGTTGCAGGTCCATATTAGCACGCCAACACGAAAGGAGATGCGGTAAATAATTGTTAATAGTGGACACCTCACGTTGTAAGTGGATTTTCAAGGAAGGTGTGCCATCTGAACTCGTTTTCGTTTTAATACAGTTCTAGGTTGTAAACTCTTGGGGAATCCAAAACGACATTCGTTGCCTTTCTTCCTACAAGTAGAACCTGCGTGGCATTCATGCTGCTGCACACGCTGAACAAGTCTGGCCAAATCACAATTCCACTCTTTGTTACCATAATGTGGTGGTCTTAAGGCCAGAATGTCACTTTCACTGGCAGTACAAGCAGAGCATGGGCACGAACTAAGCTCCGAGAGCGTCTTCGTTAGGACTGATATGTGTTTATCTACAAAATCAGCTAGTTCGGCCCGTCCATCATCCGTCTCTGATAGTTTTAAAACGTCAGGTGCATCTTTCACCCACAGCAAGCAATGTATGTGAGGAGAGCCTCGTTGCTGAAATTCTACACGCCAGAAGTGATCTACAATTTCGCCTAAAGGTTTAGACCTCCCGCATAAAATGTTATCGAAGAATGCTTGAAATCTTCTGTTAAAGTGACGGGCACTAATGTCTGGGTTCTCATTTAGATACCTCCTTCGTTCATTAAACGAGAGCTGTCTGCACTCTTCCAGTGTCAATGCAGGATTGCATGCTCGAGCGAAATTTGGCCAAATCGTATCCGCTGCGCTCAGTGTTAAAAAGAAAGTAGGCCATTTCGTTGGCAATACTCGATTTCCTATCATTGACATTAGGTCTTCTCGTACGTTCGACCAGTATAGTCCACTACCTCTCACAACTTTAAAGTAAGGTTTTAAGGATTTCAAAACGTTCATAGCGGCACTAAGTTCTTCCTTTTCGTTACTGGAGCGGCTTTCTCCTTGTGTTCTTCCACAACCGGCTAATTCCATTGCCTCGGCACGTGTTTCAGAATAGCGAATTCGTCGAACTAAACCGTCAATTTGACGGCGTTGAATTAGATTCATGCAGAAAAATTTAAAATTGCCGTGGATAACATAGCGCCGGTCGTGCCACTTCATCAAGTGAGCACAATATTCGGCTAGATTGTACTCGTGATGTCTAGTTTCGAATTCCAGAGGGTGATAACCACCCAAACCGTCTGGAAATAAAGTAGGAAAGCAACATTGCATTAGTTGTTTCGTTTTGTACTCATCAATAGTATGAGTTCTACGGTGCATATTTCCAATCGGGATTTAGTTTCTAAAGAATCGGCTCCTATCGAATTATAAAATATGATCCATTTCAGTTTGATCGTCTTGGTTAACTTCTAATTCAAATGACTCAGTCACATTTTCAAGAATATCCGTTTCATTTTCACTGCCATTCGAACTCGTAGTAGTAGTAGCTAGATGACTCTGTTTTCCCTCAGATTCACTCTCATTTCGGACACCGGAACAAGTTTGGCCAGTCATACAGTGAGTATCTGGATTAAGTTTTTGACAAACGTCGTCTTCACTCGGCCCCTCAACACCGTTGCTACTAGGCCCACAGTTTTGCTTTTCCCTGTTTAGTTGGCTTACCGATCCTCGTAATTCGCTGACATCATCATCCGTGATGGGTATACTTGGTATTTCCTGGTTGATGTTTTGATCGAGTTCCCTAAGATTATCTTCTGAAATTTGAATGTGCTCATAAAGCGGGTTATTCGCTATCAGCCAGCACAAGGCGCGCCTCACCAAATCTGGCCGCACACGAAAATAGTTCGTTGTATTATCCGATTGTGATTTAAGTAACACAACTCCACATTCTTTCAGTGGTCGAGGAAGTTCTTTTACCATTTTAGCCGGCTCGTTCCAGTAGTTGACTGCATTTCCGCGAGTAAATTCTTGGCCATCTCTGTATTGATTTACGCACGTAGTGAAGGAAATACCTAGTCCAACCAGCCTTGACTCTATTCGATTCAATTCAGCCAGTTCAGTCGGAACTGTTCCGATCCTAAAGCCACTACTCCGGCAAAATTTTGGTGTTTTTCGTGTCGTCAGCGATCTATTACATCTATCACACAGCCATATCATTGTTTTATTGTTGCTACAGCCACCAGCTAGTAGCCTGTCACGAACGCATTCATTAGAAGCATCGCCTGCAAGCCCTTCGGGAACTATTTCACATTCTCCTTCAGCGTTGCACAGAGGTGAAAAGAATATTGATTTGGGGTCGAATAGTTTTAACTTTGAATTATACGCATTCGCAACCTCTCCGCAACTTCCGCACACTCGAGTCAAGGGTGCGTCAATGGCGTCGAAGAAATCTGCAATAGTGAAATGACAAGAGCTAGTCACTGTCCGTAACAGTTTATACCAGTCTTGTTGCATACCTTTGTTGTCGTTCACATGATTGGCAGCCTCATTAGCATCAAGGAGACGGTCTTTACGCTTCCGACGCTTGCTCTGGGGGAGACTTTGAGAGTCTAAATTCCTCCGCTTTGTTTCTTCGTGCCGTGTTAATCGAGCATTCATTTGCTCAGTTTCTACCTCGTTGAGTCTTTCGGCGTGTTGATTAGGTGTGTGTTGTTGGGTGGTCCCTATACGAGTCGCTATTCGACGTATAACGCGTAGTGCTGCTTTGGCTTGCTTGGCCGCTTTCATAGCTCGCGTCTTCTTGGTAGCACGAACCATTGCGACTCAAATCGTTTAATGACTTGGAGTCAAATATTTCGACTCGAAATTAGGACAGGCTACTTCACCTGTGTTCGTTGAAGTAAATGTACGTTGATGCTACAGATCGAAAAGTGCGTAGGGTACCACGGTACGCCCATGGTTCCATATTGATCTTATAGTCGTAAAAGATTTCATTTTTCAAGGGCGCATCTTCCTCCTTGTTTTCTTCCTTATTGTACATATTTAAACTACTCTACAGCAACAATAACATAAAATATCAGCAATGAAAAAAACTACATTTACTCCCAACCTCCAACTGCCCTTCAAAGTGCTCGTAAGCCGTAGTAACATACACGTTATATTATATTATAAGCCCGTGTAAATTCGATCTACAATTAAATTTACCTCAGCAAATACGTCGATATGTAGCAGCTACGGCGGAAGTTAAAAATCAAATGCAAAAGCAGCAGTTGTACATTAACTAAAACAATACTAACGTTATTTCCTGAACTGGGTCAACTCACATGAATCCTGTGCAATTTGTAGATCCGCAAAAGCATTGCTTTTGATTCTAGAAAAAAAAACAGTTAGAGTTTCGAGTAGGGACCATTAACAGCAGGCACTTAGCTTGCCTGATCTCGTACAAACGCCCTTCCGTACTTGATGGTAATTTCTTCTCCCTTGTTAATAGCGGTGACGGAAAATATTCCACAACAGGTCTCACCACCGACCTCCCAGCGCTCCACAACACAATTTGGCGAGCAACTATGGTTCGCAAATCGGGCGATTCCTCCAATGAAGCGTGCATGAATCACCTCATTTGTATTCACAGCTAAACCATACGTATGGGGGGAGCGCCGACTTTCCTACAAAGCATAGTACCAGATTAAGTAAAATCACAAACTACAACCACCTAAACGGTATCTTACCTTTTCTTCACGTTCCCGATACATCGCTCGACTTATCACCTCGCCTACGTACTGAGCTATCAACGTATCACGCTCGATTGGCATGTCCGCCATCAAAGAGATGCATTTGCCAGGTAGGGACGCCAGCGATAGTTCTGCATGTCTGCCACGTTGCATTCGTTGGTTCCCACATTTGTAGTTTGATGCGCAGTGGCCTTCCACACACTCTGTTTGTGTCTATAAAATTCATTAGTCGCGTACTTGTCCAGGCAAACAAGTCAGAAATTGCCAATTTCACGCACAGCTTGATTTTCACAATTTGAAACACATGTCAAAGTCCAGTCAGCACGAGGCTGACACTTACAGTATGATATGTCCAGCTAGGCAAATATCAAAACGTATAGGAATTAGTACTCTAAGTTAAATGTAAAGTGTCATCTTTCACATTACCGTGGGTCTGTTACGAGGTCTACACACGTATACATTTTGCGCCACGTCTTCATACTCCGCAAATGCTTGCAACACGGAACGTTCTCGGTACACCTAGTATTTATTGTCAGAAATTCTGGTCAATTGGGCTACAAACATTCACCACATACTTGATTTGGACCTTGCCTCACGCGCGTATGTTGGTTTTCACCCCCGCCTCGAAGAAAGAACTCGTCCAGCTTGAGCTGTTTCATTGCAGGACCCGTGGATCTGCCCTGACGTAATCCAAATCTTATATGACGGCTCTCATTCCAGTATAACTGCTCTTTTGATCCCTCACATTCTAGATCTGGTGCCACCCCTTTGGAGCTGCTACCAGGATCTTTGTGAGCAAATTTTAAATCTATTGGCGCTTTATCACACCTAAAACTACTACTTCAATTTCAATTCAAACATCGCATATCATCACAGCGAATACCAAAGTAAACTATTTTTTTTGTATTCATTACACTCGTTTGTGGTTAAAAGCTGCCTTCTATTTGGTGGTTATTGTGCTATTATTCATTACACTACGAACCTATGAAGGCAAATTAGTTTGTAAATGCTAACCGCAGCTCTCAATACAACAACTTTGCTAATTTTCACGAAATATAAAATTGGGCAGTTGCTACTGCACGTTTCGCACCTGGCTGTTGTTCAGGTGTGGCGCTTGCTGCGCTTCGCCACTGTTGGATGATTTTCCTCGCTCTTGCTCTCCGATGCCATCACCACATCATTGTCAGTCGGGATGGCACTCATCGCACTCGTGTTGTCTTCCGCTTCGTAAGCCTTGGTTTTTAAGTGTTGTGGTGAGATCTCACAGGCCACCTTGCGTTTTTTCAGTGGTGGTTCGACCTCGAAAATCTTGTACTTGTTACCGAGCTCGTACTGAACGCTCCCCTTTGCAATATCAGCATAGAAACCAACGCCATCGGCATGGGAAAATTTGTACACGGCACCAGGTTCAAACTTAATATTGCGCTTGCCATTGACACACTTCGTCGGTTTGGCATCCCACACCGTCACTTGAGCCAGATACGGTTTGCGCTTCAGAGGTGTCAAGTCGGCTAGGGCATTTGCTGTCGGCTCGAACACTTCCCGTTGCGCGGCGTCGACTAGCGTAACACGAGTTCCATGGTCACCGCGAAGTCGTTCCGATTGAAGGCAGCACATGCTGAGCGTAACGCTTACATCAGCAGTTGGGTGCGACGCCAAAATGAATTCTCTAAACTCCGCCACAGTTGAGAATTGGTTCAACGTTTCTTCTTCCTTCTGCTTTAGGACGTCGTTCTTGATAGCTTCTAGCAGATTCATAGTTGTATGTGGTGAAATTGTGCGATGGCGTTGCTTCGTCGCTAGCAAAACTAAAAGTGAGCACTGCCGGCACGAATCATCCGTCCCATTCAAGATACCCACGTCCTACTGCCATTGTACGCGGCGGATAAGGTAAAATAATGCTATATTCGAACAAACCAAAAGGGTGACTATAATTAATTTGCAAACAAACTCTTTCATTGTGATATTACACACATTTCCTCCTCGCCAATTACTTAAGTTCTGTAAACCACTCTGGCTTGAAGTCTACGAGCAACTTCACAAATTCTGACAAATTCTCGTAATTTTTAAAGCATTCCCGCACCAAATATTACTGGAATTTTGGCTCGATCGTTCGAAGCGAAACGTCAACGTATCCAAGAGATGTGATACAACTTCGTTTAGCCATTGCATCTTCAACAAATCTATAAGCTGATTCATTAGCGAACGTATCCGAAGAAATGCTATTCAAAACGCCATCACTATCACAACCGCTTCTTCCATTATCTTAGACTTTATTTGTGTAGCCCACTTGCATGACACTGTCCAGTACTCGATGTCCATCGTCATTGCCTAGCACAGATACCATACATACGAGATCACTGCATTATTAATGAATTTGAAGTTGGGGCATTAATTATGAGTCCATATTACATTTTGCGACTCCTTCTAGATCTACCAGCCAACCTTCAACCGACAGCACCGTCGTGCCACACCGCACGCATCCTCACCAACGTTTCTAGATATACAGTCACTTCACTTGATCCACGTAATGGTTTCCAGCTCCAAACCTGGTACATTGTGTCTATTTGCCAATTTTACACCGTTTACATTTATTTTGACGCCCCTAATCTATCTAGTTTGTTAGTACGATGCCTTCCTACATTTTTATAGTAAAATTGAGTTTGATTCCTACTCATTAGCCTTCAAACCCTGCGCGCATTCTAGTTATTGAACCATCAACGTATCCAAGAGATGCGATACGACTTCATTTAGCCATTGATTCCGCTACTGCAACTTCAACATATCCATTAGCTGATTTACCAACGAACGTATCCGAAGAAGTCATTAGCCTCCAAATCCTGCACGATTATATAGTTATATATTTTTTTAATTTTGATCTACTTCATAAATTCCATATCTACAATTTCATGCTACAACTGTGCTTACTTCCTCCCACACTCATGTCTACAGTAGCTCCAATTAGTATTAATTAAATTCATAGTATTTCGTTGCAACAACTCTGTTATATTATCCTTTAACTGAAAAGAAGAATACCATATAGTAATTGCTGATGCACCAGCAACATGGTCTGATCGTTTCCCCGAGTCTTCATCATTAACGCCATCACGCTGTTGCTGTCGGTCAAGTTGATTCTTGTAGCTGCTGTATGACCCTCACCAAGACGTGCGCTTTTTGAGGGGAGGCGCAATCTCTCTGATCTTATCCAAGTTGCCATACTCGTACTGAATACTGCCCTTCGCGATGTCATCGTACAATCCGACATACTCGACTTGATTAAGAACGTACATAGCTCCAACGTGAAACACAATGTTTGAATCGCCAGCGAAAGCGTTCGACATCTTTGAATCCCAAACAGTCACCTGCACCACATCGCGTTTGTCTTGATAGCCTATACAATCATCAACTGCCTTCAAGGCTGTGTTGACTTCCACACATCTCCTTCCGTCGACCAAGACTACACGAGTAGCGTTAGTACCTTCAAGACGCTCCACGTGAAGGCAACACATTCTCAGTGTCACGCAGATATCAACTGCAGGGTGTGTCATTGTGATGAATTCACGAAAGTCTCTTACGCTTGAAAACATGTTGACAGCTTCCTCTTCCATTTGTTTCAAAACGGCCCCGCGAATGGAATCCAAGAAATCCATTGTGACTTGATACAGCTAAATCAAAAGTGACAGACGCAAATCCGAAAGTTAAATAAGCCAACTTCAACCCCAGTAAGGAAACTGTTCACAGCAGTATTACTTTTGCATGTCATATTTTATTCATATCGACTAGAGAGCCCAGCAAACGGTGGGTAATTGAGGGAGTACTCTTAAATAGTTGGTAAGTTGTTCCAGGCTCTGCTCGAAGCCCAGAGAGATATTAAAGTGGTGCACCATACTGCGTGAAAAGGCGTAGCGCTTGGCCAGATCCACTTTGTGTAGCGATAGGAGAATAGGCACCAGCAACTTCCCACGGTCCTCTGCGAAAGCCAATTGATCAGCAAGAAGGTCGCAATTTGCAGACAGCGGAGGCAACACCACTAAGACGACAGAGCAGACGAGAATGGCATCTTTTGCAGCCAATTGCCGCGTTTGAACAGGTAAAGGGGCCACTGTTTGCACAATGCAGCTCAAATCTGCGCCGAAGCCGCCGCTTTGAACATCGCTGTTCACAGTATCTTGCGACCGATGCGCATATTGTACCGCAGGAGCTGTTTGATCCACAACACAGCGTATTCCCTGCTTGAGCAACGATTTCTGGAGGCGTAGACACAATGAGCGGTGGATATCACCATGCGCAATAAAGACGAAAGAGTCTGTACCGGATGTGAACGCGAGAGACGAAGCCAATGAGTCAATCCGTCGTAATGGCCGAATAAGTGGCACGTTCAGTGGCCCTCTGGGAAGCTGATCGCTGCATTCGACGCGTCGATTTCTTCACACTCGCTTTGCTTATCATGATCCGTAGACATTCCACACAATGCTCTGTCTTCTTCCTCCGGATAACACTCACTCTCGTTGCGACGGCTTCCATGGCGTGACGCGTCTCCGCTAACAGTAGCATCAGTCTCATGACCAGGAAGTTGTGCTTGTTGCTGCTGCTGCAACTGGCGCCGAGCTAGTCGTGCACGATGCTCCTCGATTTGATCTTGAATACCGTCCAGTAGCATCCTTAAGCAGTGGTAAAAGGCCTCGTCATTGTAGTTCGGAACTTACTCGAGGTTGCTTAAGACGCGCTTGCCCACCATATTGACCACCACGTTCGTAGTATCATCTTCACTGTACACTTCCCCCTCATGTGAGTCAGTGTCAACTGTATATGAGCTATTCCTCGCCATCCGCTGCAGATCAGCATCATCTCCTGTAGAACTTACACCGTTATTGTGCTTAACTGCCGATCGAAAGTCAATCACTTGGCGGGTCCACAGGTAAACTTGTAGCTCTTCAGATATCTCCATATCCTCGCATTGTATAGCCACGACAGAAATGTCTGCATTTTGGCAAAAGCGAGTTCTTTCATGCACCATTGTGACTGTGGGTAGTCTTTCGTGAGTACAGCTAATACAAGAGCACTGCTATGGATCCCGCGAGCAATCTCTTGACGCCAGACGGAGCCATCAGTGATCCCAGTAGGTCCCATAGTGTCGATCCAAGTTGTCACTCGGTGGCGCTCTAACGAGTCTCGAATCTTCCGTGCTAACGGTGCGTGAGCATGACTGTAGCTGATCATAAAGTCGCGCTGACCTGCCTCCTTCTTCGCAGCGAAGCGTAGTGCTGGCGAACGTGCGCAGTCGATCGCACGTTGACCGAGCAGATTGACTGCTGTTAAACTTAGGCCAGCACGAAAGAAAAGAACCGCTGCAGTTTGATTGCGTCGCCGAAGCGCAACATGGAGAGCAGAATCGCCATTGCTTGTACGTGTAGCGTGCAGATCGACTTCATCTTCCAACAGCAGCTGGAAAATACGGGCGTCAAGTCCACGCGCTAACGATCTCTGGGCGCTCAGCACCGCCTCCATTCCCCCATCCTCGCTTCTCGACCCATGTCCGTGCGAAGGCGATCGTTTTGAGACTCGCGGGCGACCTCCAGAGCAACCTTAGCGGCTTCGATAGCGCAGAGCGAACACGAATCGCTGCTTAGAACCACGCTCCCACGCCTCTATCCTATTTCAGTACAGAAAAACAGTGCATTCTGAACGTGTAGCCATGACTTTTTACAGAGTTCTTACGGCTCTGTATCCCTTCCAATATATCAGTTTTGATGCCCTTTATGACTAAATAGGACTGTCCCTCGACGTTAATCGTTACCAGCGTAACGGTTCGCATGGGTACGCGCCGTAAGGCCGTGAGCGTAAAACGTTCCTAAAACTTCCTTGAACAGCGCAATCCTTTGGCGCCTGATACAAAGCGACTCTTCATACAGAGCATAAAAATGACTCCTCTTTTTAGTGACTGTTAATACTACAAAAGAGGTCACTACCGCGCTTTTCTATTTTTCTTCCCCGTCACTCCCTTTCAAGGGTTCTTATACACAAGTATTTTTCGCCAAAAATGGTCCCTTGATTATAAATGTCTACCCTAACCCTTTTCTAATACTTCGTAAATACTCCTGTAAAAAGAGTAGATGTCTTACTAATTCGTTTCATTATAGGGGGGCTTTGCCCCAACCATGATTTTAGTCCTGGACCGCAACAGCTGCCATTGCCGTTTGGAGCGGTCGCTACCTTACAAAGTCCTGAGAGAATCAAAGACTTCCCATTTTTACAAGAATAACGAGCCGTGGATTGGCTGCATACCGCAATATTTACATGAGGAAAAGTGAAGCCAGTGGGCAAAGAGTGAGGCAGGTTGGCGGCGTAACTAGTCCTGTAGCTTCTAACTACAGGACCTGCAAGTTACAGGCTGTAACTGGTAGCGAGAGGGAACGCAGCAGCAACCGCATTGATATAAGCACGACGGCGATGGGAAAGCCCAAGGCCACGAACGGCGGCAAGCTGTCGGAAAAAGACATGGAGCAGCACCGTGAGTACATGAAGAAATACAAGATGCAGTCAAGCGATCTGGATAAGCACGAAATGCACTACAAGGACCACTACGAGCTGCTGAATATCTCTCGTGACGCATCACACACGGAGGTGATTCAACTACGAGGGTAAATATGAGATACCCGTATCGCCCTTAACTAACGGAGACCCCCTGCTGCTGTTGATGCTTTAGATTCGGAAGGCTTACAGAAAGCTGGCGCTTAAGTGCCACCCGGACAGGAAGCCATCGCCCGAGGCATTGGCACAGTGGGAGGGTGTGCCAACGGCATATGCGGTGCTATCGAATCCAAACGACCGTACCGAGTACGACGCCACCTTACCCACCCGCGACGCGCTCGTAGAGTTCTACCGTGCTTACAACCCGGCCAAATTGGACAACGCTACCATCGATACCATCATCGACGGCTGGTACGGCCGCGAGGTTGAGCTCTTTGAGATGCTCAATGCCAAGTACGAGGTGGCACCGCACCAGGGCACCACGAAGGCTGTGCAACGCGCTGCTGCGATGTCGATGTCACGTGAGAAGGCGCACAAGATTTCGACGGACAGCCAGACGTACAAGTCGAAAGACGCCACGAACACAGAGATCACGTGGACAGGCACTATCGGGTCCGTCTTCTGCTGCAAGGGCATCTTCTCGCGCTTGTTCCGCACCACCTACTACGAAGTAGACACGACCAGTCCGGGGTTCCTGGCGTCCCACGGCGCCTCGGATACGCCCGGCCAGACCATGCGTATGAATCTTAAGTCCCCCGCGACACCGTCACAGCTATCGCAGCCTGTCAGTCCAGACTTTGAGCCGCCTGGTGATGCAGATAACTCTTCCACGGCTACGACTGCCGACGGATCGCCACCCAGTGGAGACGACAGCTGTGCAAGGTCAAGGAACGACTACAGCGCTTCACCTCCAGGCCCACGAGCGTCACAAGTGAACGTCGCGGCGGCTAGATAAGTGGGCTAAAGTTCTCACGAACTTTGGACCACCCCCACACCTCACGACGTGAGGTGTGGGGTGTGGTACATGTACATGCTTCAGTAGTGGCGTCAGGAGTGGATGCCGAATAAATTATCATTGTTCCAAATAGTACATAGTAGTAGAAAATACTAGTAGTGCCTAAGCTTAGAGCGCGCTTTTTGTAGTACGTTAACGGAGTGTCGTTGTCTTCGACACACTACGCAAAGTCTGCTAGTGGCTCGGTGGAAAGAGACAGCGACCAGGAGATAGCACCCTTGCTCCATTCGAGTTCTGCTTCCTTCATCCAGTCGTTCATCCAGTGGCACTTCTTCAGGATCTCTTGAGTGCATGGCTTGAATGTGAAGTCTCCACTGGACAACTCTTCTTGCGATAGGCCAGTCAGAGTCAGATCCATAGAGGCGGATGGGTGGTTCCACTCGTCTGCACCTAAAGGAGAAGGTGATTGATCCATCGTTGACGCAAACCCCAGCATTAAGCTGACTCCATCCTTCATGGACGGTGCGTTGTCGTCCTCTCCTCCTTTCTCGACTGATGTCGTGTTGTGCTCGAGTTTCACGACGGGCACAAGCGTGACGAGGCCGGAGACCGAGGGCAGCACGACTGACTTGGGGGTAACCTCTAAGGCTGGACGCTGAGCGATGGCGCTCTTGCCCTCACTCAAAGAGGCTTGGGCTCCCACAAAGGTAAATTTGACTTTCTGCCCAATTCTCTTGGCGAACTTGCAGAACTCGCCGATCCAGTAGTCCGCCTCAGCAGCTTTAAGCTCCTGAATGTTAAGGTTGGGCCCGAATTTGCAGCGGTATTGGACATGCCAGTAGTAGTGGTTGCGTAGGTTGGAAAACTGTTTCTGGAGTTTCACGTGCAAATTATAGCAGTAGTTCTTTCCACGTTGGTAGAAGAAGTTCTGTTTGCCGATGGCCTGACCCGTATACTTTTTGGTCACACGTAGCGGGTCGCACTGCAGCATGTTGGCCATGAACACACGTAGATGCAAGCCGTCCGCGAGCGGCAGAGCGCCCAGCTTGAATTGCTTCATCAAGAGGTTGGCGTACTTGTGCTCATCTATACTCCACTTGCCCTTGCGCGCATTCGAGTTCGAGCTGTTCTTGGTCTCGCGGAATACGAGCACGTTGCCCACGGGCTCGTCGCATACCTCGCAGTGCGTCGCCGGCCACGCGAAGATGCAGCGCGGATGGAACCGATGTCCGCACCCGTCCAGCTCAAGAATCGCTCCGCAAGACTTGCAGGCCTCGCACCGCGTCGAGTTATCGCCTTCCAGGATGGCAGCAACGGCAACGGCGGTGTGGTCCATGACAGGCGCAACGCTCAAATTGAAGAGTGGGGGTTGCATGCTAACACGAAAGGCATGAGAACATTCTCTGTATGAAAGCTTTCGATTGGATATATAACAGACCGCTTAAATACGACGTCCTCCATAAAAGCATAAATTTATTCTGTAAAGCAGTCTAAACTTGTAGGCCGAGTGTGTGGCCCCAAGCATTTTTCCTGTCGACTCCCTGCGTCATGATCTCGCGCGTGGGGCTCGCAGCTGCCGCCAAGAGCGGTACGGTCGCTCGAGCTGTACGGCAGTCTGCATTTGCAATATGATGCTCTAATATCGTCAGCACCGCTAACTTTTTCTTTACGAGCACAGATCTCGACAGAGACCTACTCGTTCGTTCAAGCTCGCGCCGGGTACCGTAAGGAGATCGTGTCGCTGCGCAAGGATTTCATTGAAGAGGAAAAGCGTCGCAAAGAGAAGCTCGCACGTGATGCAGAGTACGTGCAGTGGAGTTTTTCAGTTGTGAAAGGGACGGAGGAGCACTAATTCGACTGATTTTCTTATACTCAAATAGGGCTCAACGCCAGATAATAATGAAGGCTAAAGCGGCCCGACTAGAGGTTAAGCGCCAGCAGCAGGCTATTCGTGCTAAGGAGGTTGCACGTGAAAGGGCCATCCACGACGAGAAAGTCAGGTGGGTCTTCTGTACCGGCAATTCGCGTTTTGGCTGGACTCTTCTCGCGTGTTACCGCTCGAGACGCTGCGTTTGACGCAGACAGGAAAAAAAAGCTGTAGGGTTATTGATGAAAAATGATATTTTTCTGCAGGAAATACTTCGAGGAGAAGGTGGTGGTGCGACAGGAGAGGAGTGCCGAGGTGGAGCGCCGTCGTGAGGCGCTGGTGGCCTCGCTGCGCCAGCAGTGTGCCAAATGGACAACTGATGAGAACTACACGGAGAAGCTGAAAGAGGACGTTTTTATTTACTCTCCGCAGCAGATCTCAGCCCGGGGCTCGCTCGACCCATCGAACACATCGGGCAGCGCCGTATCCTGGCTGGAGAAACTCCAGCGTATGAAGCCTGCTGGAGTGCACGATAGCAGCGTTGAGGCCGCTGCGTCTGCCGTGGCATCAGCTGCCGACGAGGAGGATGCCATCACGTACGCCCCCAGCAATGACGACGACGTGGAAATGTCCAAGCCGAAGCAGGAAGACGAGTAATCAGCCAAAGCCAAGAGTGCCCGCCGCTATTTCTCACTTTTGGCACCAGTACACACTACTTAGACAGCTTGTTGAACTCCGTTTATTGCATAACTTCATTTTAATGACCTTCCGCTTGCACAGGATCACGAGGAATGCCTGTTTCTCCAGTATTACTACGTACAACAGTCGTAGTAATAGGCAACTGAGCATGCACATGTACACTACATGACACGTTGGAGCTGGCAAGGTTTCATTTTCGTACTTAGTAGTGGAGTTCGAGGGAGGCGTCGAATGAAATCTTAAAAATCTTTCCAGCGGAAGCGAAGCAGAGTAGATTGAAGAGCGATGGTGACGGCGGAGCAGGCCTTCCAGGCAAACGCGGCGGCGGTGGTGCGCGACTATTACGTGGAGCCTCGAATTGGTGTGTCTTTGTAAAGGTGCATTACGGGTTGTGAGGCCTAGATTGATCAATTCGCTTGCGGTCTTGCGCAGATTACCGCACCATCTCGGGTGTGAACGGCCCACTGGTCATTCTAGAGAATGTCAAGGTCTGATGAACTGGAAGATCTACTGTTGTAGACGGCTGTGCTAAGGTGGTACATGTTTCTATTTTCCTCTCTCTTTAACAGCTGCCCAAGTTCGCCGAGATCGTCAACCTGACACTGGCCAGCGGCGAGAAGCGCCAGGGTAAAGTTCTGGAGGTGCAGGGCAGCAAGGCCGTTGTGCAGGTCTTCGAGGGCACGGATGGTATCGATAACCGCCACACACACTGCGAGTTCACGGGTGATGTACTGAAGATGGCCATCTCGGAGGAGATGTTGGGTCGCGCCTTCAACGGCTCCGGTAAGGCGATTGACGGTGCCCCTGCGGTCGTGGCTGAAGAGTACTTGGATATTGAGGGTCAGCCCATCAACCCTTCATGCCGTGACTACCCCAAGGAGATGATTCAGACCGGCATCTCGGCAATTGACGTGATGAACTCAATCGCTCGTGGACAGAAGATCCCGCTCTTCTCCGCGGCAGGTCTACCGCACAACGAGGTACAAACTAACAATGCTTGGAGGTCAATCTTGTATTCGAAAGCTAACTTTATGCTGTGTAGATTGCCGCACAAATTGTGCGTCAGGCTGGTCTGGTGCAGCGCAAGGATGTCGTCGACTCCCACGACGATAATTTCGCCATTGTGTTTGGTGCTATGGGTGTCAACATGGAGACAGCTCGTTTCTTTCGTAACGATTTCGAGGAGAGTGGATCTATGCAGAAGACGGCGCTGTTCATGAACCTGGCTAATGATCCTACCATTGAACGCATTGTGACGCCGCGCCTGGCGTTGACCACGGCCGAGTATCTTGCCTACGAGCGTGACATGCACGTGCTCGTCATTCTGACGGATATGAGCTCATATGCCGATGCCCTTCGTGAAGTGTCTGCTGCCCGTGAAGAAGTGCCCGGACGTCGTGGTTACCCTGGTTACATGTACACGGATCTGTCGACATTGTACGAGCGTGCTGGACGCGTGACAGGCCGCAATGGTTCCATTACGCAGCTGCCCATTTTGACCATGCCCAACGATGATATCACGCATCCCATTCCGGATTTAACGGGCTACATTACGGAAGGACAGGTAACTAGTGAACTGTTCAGCAACGCAGAGAGACTGGGCTGGCTAATGTTATCTTTGCGTTTCTGCAGATTTATGTGGATCGCCAGCTGCACAATCGTCAGATCTTCCCGCCCATTAACGTGCTTCCATCGTTGTCGCGTTTGATGAAAAGCGCTATTGGTGAGGGTATGACGCGTGACGACCACAGTGCTGTCTCGAACCAGCTGGTATGTAAATTATGGATGGATAAATTTTTGCAATCTAGGATTTGACGATTTGTTGTTTGGTGTGTTCCACGTGTCCAGTACGCCAGTTACGCTACGGGCAAGGACGTTCAAGCCATGAAGGCTGTGGTTGGTGAGGAAGCTCTTTCGCTGGAAGACCATCTGTACCTCAAGTTCACGGACAAGTTTGAGGGAAAGTTTATCGCGCAGGGTCCGTACCAATCGCGAGACATCTTTGAGTCACTGGACCTCGCATGGTCGCTCTTCCGCGCGTTTCCGAAGGAGTTGCTAAAGAAGATTCCGAAGAAGCATCTGGACACGTACTATGCGCGTCGAACGCAAGCGCGTGAGGAGAAGGAAGAGGTGACGTTGGCATGATTTTATAAATTTGGAGGGTACTGATGGCTGACCTTTTGCTCGCTTTGTTGCTTGTGTAGTGAGAAAACCTGGCAAAAGTGTTTGAGCCCCTGGCTAACATTCGTGGATGGTAACTGCTGTACGGTCGCCTTTTTCTTCCTTCAAGCACAAACTTCAAGTAAAAATAAGAGCAACTTGATAAAGTTGATTCTCGCTGTTTTATAGGAAATATCTTGCCATTTGTATTCAATCGTAGGAAAGGTTGCCTCTCATCTATCCGCAATCCAAATATTTGCACACTGGAATATCTGATCATTTATATACACACGACACAGCGAAGAGTGGCGGCATTTTTGGTGGCGATTTTTCCTACGGATGACCAGTGGCGTGTAATTCGCCAAAATCTATCAAGTCAGAGAGCAACAAAGCCGCCCTTCCTTCTCCTACCAGTATGACCACGGCTAAGCCCCACTCCAAGACCAACAAGACCAGCAAGTCCATCGTAGCTGCAGCCAGGGCCGGTGCCAATGCTCATAATACGTGCGAGGCCGGATCAGAGTGCATTAGAGCAGTCGTTACAGGGTGTGTGATGCTAAATGTCGCTGTTGTGTGCGGCTCTTGAGATGCTAATGAATGCTAACTATGTAGCGATGCGACGGCGCTCGAATGTACTGCTCGGCCATTCATGACGGACTCTGCTGGAAAGGATATGAGCAGTGATGAACCTGAATGTGAACGTGTGCCAGTAAATGGAGTTGATGGGTCGAATGAAGTGTCTGGTTCACCTGCAGATGGTGTCGCCGTGGGCGATGATAACGTGACAGCGCGAGATGTTCGTGAGGCGTGCATCTCGGGTAGAACGCAGCAGGCTTATCGTGGCGCCCTCAGATCGATATCAAAATGGATAGTTGAGACCAAAAAGAACGAAATGGCAGCATACTTTGACTCGACTGGACAAATTGAGCTGACACAGTTTACGTCAGCAGACTTTGAGGCGTTCCTGTTGGAAAAACGTAAAACGGTGACGATTAGTACTCTTAATAGTTATCGAAGCGCAATAAAGGATCTTTACCGCCGGAAAGAAGTCCCTCTTCCGGAAGCCTACGACAAGCAAATGGCTACATTTTCTCCGGGCTTAAGCGTCTGCAAGCAGCTAGATTTCAATCTGGAGCACCTAAAGAATCGGGGAAGGATCCACTGCCGTACTCGCTGTATCAACAGCTTTGCAAGGCGACACTGGAAAGGCAAGACGCGGGGTTTGCACATTTCTTTCTGACAACACAATGGAACCTAATGTGCCGTTCGGCGTCAGTGCAAACGTTATGCACGCAGCACTTGAGCGCTCATGACGATAGCGTTGGGTGTACTATGCATCAATCTAAGACTAATCAGGAAGGATCTGGACCCAAGGATCCGCGCCACGTGTACGCGAATCCCCGTAGCCCTGCAACGTGCTGGGTCACTGCACTTGCTATCTATTTAGCATGTCGACCAACACAACAGTCAGGGTCACTATTCCCAGGTTCCCGTCAGAAAATTCGGTTCGGTAATACGCTACGTCAAATGATCACACAAATAACTGGGCTCAATCATTATGGAACCCGCTCGATAAGAAAGGGCGTTGCAACATTTTCGTACAGTGGAACAACAGGAGGTCCGTCAATCGCCAGTGTTTGTTTGCGCGTCGGATGGTCGCTTGGTGGTGTCCAGGATAGATACATCCGCTACGAATCGGCTGGTGATCAATATCTAGGTCGTGTGGTGGCAGGATTGCCCCTAAATAAAGCCGAGTTCGCGGCACTACCACCTCATTTTAGTGATAATAATGCGCAATGTGTGGAGTCATGTGTCGAAGAAATGTTTCCAAGCCTGCAAAATACCAGTGCACTGCAAGATATTCTCAAGCTCTGCATAGCTTCGCTCGTGCATCATCATGACCATTTGAATGAGGTTCTACCAGCATCGCACCCGCTACTTTCGTCCTATTTATTTCGTCACCCCGAAGTTGTGACACAACTTCGATCAAAGCTGGTTTGTGAGGCAGCTTCCTGGATGAAACCAACGGGAATCCCGCCACATGTGGAGCTTTACAAACAGTTGCAGTGCATGCAATCCTCAATCGACAAGTTGCCGCCATTACTTTTAGAGGGAGTTTCAAATCTTATTGAGCAGAAAGGCGTTACCGCTGGCAATATAACCAAGGATCTGCTAGAGAGCACCATCAATGCATTGCTGAAGCGTGTCGGTATAGCGCAACCTAGCAGCTCCTCGCCACATCCGACAATGGAGACTGGCGACAGTAAAACAGCGTACTTTTACAACGGCAAATTTCATTTACTGCCCGAGTCGTTTGAATTCCCTCGTGGAGGACCTTACGCTGCCTGGATGCTCTGGTGGTTTGGCGATAAAGCACGAAATTATCCACCCCTCCGAAAAATTCGCCCTCACGACTTACTGAAGAGCAGTATGTGCAAGCGTTTCTCAGATTGGACTAGATTAATCCGACATATTTGCACAGCCATTACGACTGCAGGAAAAACTATCCCGAATGATATGACCGAGCACCAAGCTTCAGACCTCTTTCGTGTGGGCATCAGTAGTTTAGAGATGACCCCTTTGTGGTAAAGTGCTTTCTCAGAAATAAGAGAATGGGCCTGACGCGGGGTCACTATCCCGAATCAATGACAATTTCAAGTGATTAGAAAGGATTTGGGTTGGCTGGCACGGATGCAAGTTGCCGGTGGTGGATTAGCCATGACGAGCAGCGCCCCGTATGAAGTGACGATGGATCTGGTATGAGCGATGTACGAGAAGGCAAGATCCACCAAGACTTACCTCGGATCCACCCTTACTTGGATTCACCTAAATGGATATGGGATATACTATACAAGAGTGGATCGGGTGTGGATCCTATGAAGGAAGGATGGTAGGTGCCCTCTAAAGGTGGATCTAGTAGCCACGGCTAACGAGGAGTCAAGATCCACCACGAGGTGACCCGGATCCCATGCTTTCGACTTAGGATCCAAGGAGGGAGGATCCCGCCTTAAGGGACCTGGATCCAGGGTATAGGTATGATGGATGCAGTGGATCTAGAGCTTTCGTGGGACAGTGGAGATCACAGACGGTTGCGAGATGATGTTGGATGAGTGGAGAGCTCAGGTCCACGACGAGTGTACACTTTCAAGTGAAGTGGATCCAAGCGACCTGGATCCTGATGAGTGTACCCATAATAGGGTAACCATAATGATTACGCCATGGATCCGGTGGATCTGAAGATAATACAGCTGGGATGATGGGTCAAGGGAAGAAGGGACATGGAGCCGAGCCTGGTAAGGGATTTAACAGATGAAAGACATAGAAGGTAGAAACCCAGGCAGGTATAGGCTTAAATATCAATACAGACTCCAATTTGCACAGTGACACGCAAGTGCCTTCCTGCCCTCAAGAACCGGAACTACATTGGCCGTACGAGCTCCGAGAAGGTTGGGAATTGCGAATCTAGTGCTGGTAGTGATAACTGGATAATACATTGGCCAGATCCTACAACCTAGTGAGCTTTTCCTTTACTTGTGCAGATCCGACAGGTTAACCGAATCTACTACTTGGTCGGTTACACCCTAGGGGCTCTCAACTCTCAAGATCCCGTCACAGGAGGCGGCAAGTACAACGCAAAGGAACGCAAAGGCAAGGGAACACACCCGCAAGGCAACCCTACGGCCAGATCCACGATCTAGGCCCCGGATCCATAAGCTCGAATATTCGCTTAGGATACGGAACCATCCACGGACGCAGAGTGAAGATTTTCCACTGCTGCTCCACCCCATCCCCACGTCTCGCCAAGACACTCAAGGTTCACCACTTGAACTCTTCGGAAGTTACCGAGAGAGCAGATCCCGCCCTACCGACGGGTACACAAGGTGAGGAAAGTTCAGCAGAACACGGATCATCGGGGGACCCCCTCCGTTAGTCGGTGTCTGGGCGCAGTTGGTAAGTTGAATCTGGCAATCTCGCAGATTTTGCTGATCCCGCTACACCACAATGGTGCGCGTGCCCGGATCTTTTGGTGACTCGGGATTTCACCGTGAGTCCCAAGAAGATGCTCAAGTGAAGATTGAGCCAGGGGAAGAGGCGTCGTCGGAGGTCGGATCGACGAAGACGCTGCTGAATGAAACAAGATCCGCGGATCGATGGAGTTTTGGGAGGAACTCTGTCGACGGAAGAGAGGTGGATCCGGATCCGGATCTAGAAGAGAAACCTCTCTATCCTCCCCAGGTCCCCTCGGGGACCCCTGCGGATCTTGATGCAAGTCAAGATCCGCTAACAAAACAAGGGAAAGTGAAGGCGAAACGGTATGCATTTGTAGATTCACCGGTTAAGCCAACACCGTACCTAAACCCAAGCCCAGCTAGTCGAAGAAACAAGAAAGAAGACGAAAACGAGTAAGA